TCTGGTATTTGTATTTATAAGGCAGTAATGTGAATAATTATAAGAAATTAGAATTTGAGAAGACCTGAGCTGAATTACCATCTTCAAAACCAAAGCTCTAGTGACCTCTCAAGAGAAGTGTTGACAAAAGGATCCAAATATCTTGTCCTGTTGATAATAGAACTTTCAATGACAAATGGATAAGATCACTGCATGTAGGGATATTACAGCAGCCTTACTGTCTCAGCCCTGAAATCCATCCTGCCCAGGATCCTGTGTCTGACAAATGCCTATAATAGGTGCTCAAAGAACAGTTAAAATGTGTCAGAAATTTCCTCCTATAATTGTTCATCGCCTAGAAGTGTATTGGTTCGCACATTCTTGAGTCAGAGGTGGTATCTCTGGATGAACAGTGCCTCCAACAAATTCAACCACATTTTTTTTTTTGGAGCTGGAGAAACAATTACCGTTGATTCTTGACATCTCTTGCCCAACACTTTATAGTTGAACTATGTATTAGGTGAAAGCATGTAGGCTCTGAACTTGTCTTCTACTACTTACAGTTGCTATCTCCAGGTTCTTAGATTAGAAGATCATGATTCTTAGATTAGAAGACAATAAGCTATCACTCCTATGCAACTCCTTGTCACTTAAAGAAATTCTATTCTTATTTTATAACCTCTCAGAAATCTTGACCAGAAGTCCCCTGGACTATTTAACACAATATTTTTATTCTGTGTTCCTCATCTTCCTCCTCTGACCATTTCCTTTTTCTGTTTTTTGGTCTTTCAAATACATTATTCAGTACTATATACAGATCTATACAACATTATGAAGATAGTGTTTTATTCTTATTTATTTTTTCACTAATAGCTCTTCACATTCTACTTGCTCTTTTGAGATAGAAAGACTATATCGGTGGTTCTTTTTATGTGCCACAGCTGGCACTGAGACAATAGAAGAGTAAGAAATTTTATGAAGGTCATTGCTGCAAGTCAGTCCGGCCTCAGGCTCAGGAGTTCAGGAGAGACAGGGGGCTGAGTGCTCAGATGCCACGATGATGGCAACAGGGCAAAATCCAGACTGAATCAGTACAGATATAAAAGCCAGGTGTAATTAAAAAAGGAATATGGATGAAAAGGGACAATTAAATTATTTTACTTTTCAGTGAAAATAGAGGAAGTGACAAGGGTTAGTTCCAGGCATATGGTGAACAACTGGTGCCTGGGGTCCATGCTGCAGCCCTGCCCTATTTCGCCTTCTCCAACACTGCTGAGCATCCCCTGGACATTGTCTGCCATTTGTGCTAGATAGTGGGGGTGATTTTGTCTCTCTGTGACACAGACAAAAGTCTGCCAAGGATATAACTCCACAAACACTTCAGCAGAGTCCCAAGGCAGCTTTTAAAATTAGATTGGCAGCAATAAAAAGATGAGGGTGTAAATCTACACAAACTACTTGTTGCAGACTTTTAATGAAAGTATAACACATCAAGTTCACTAAAGATAACTAGATTCAGTACTTGGGCTAGAAAGCCCATCATTCATCTGAGAAGCTGTGCTGTAGGCAAATTAATTCTTAGAATGAAAACATACAGAAGACAGTTTGGTGAAAACTGTTCTGGAAGTGGTTTCAGACTGGAGAGAACTGGAGTAGTTCTTTTACTTAGAAAACTAATGCAGAGTTTCACTTTCAAGAGGTCAACTTGTCTAATTTTGAACCCAGACTTCCTTGACCTAACAGCTGTAATACTATACTCATTTGCTATAAAGCAACGGATTGAGGTGGTTTAAAAGACAATAACACTGCATCTTCACAGAACCACAGAATGGCTGAAGTTGGAAGGGACCTCTGAAGATCATCTGGTCCAGCTACCCTGCTGAGCAGGATTACCTAGAGCACATTGTGCAGGATAGCATCCATGAACATTTGACTTACTTATAGATATATGTCTAAAAAAAATATTACAGATGCACCTATCTATGTACAGTACGGATGTAGTCTTTCAGATCTGTAGCTGACTTTTTATTTCTTTTAAGTTGAATACCTTAGTTTTATATTTTTCCTGTAGCTGGGTAAGCACCAGATATTAAAGACTTTGTTACAAGAGGATTAGCTTCTAAAATTCGACTGTTAGGCATCTACCTCCAGTCTCCATGTGCATGGGACTTCATTCAAGTAAATTCCTTTTCCATGGAGAAAGATTGGCCTTCAGTGATGAAGTATGCAAAATGATGAGAGAGTACAGGCCTGTAATAAGCCTCCAGAGAAGATGCTAAGCCTTTGTTCAAGTGAGATACAAAAGAGGAAAATCCCTCCTCTTCCTAAGAGGTATCAGATCCACATTGCTGCCCCAGTCACCAAATTAAACAGATGATGTTCAAAAACAAGTTTGGGATTAATCTGACCAGAGACAGAGCATACAGTAGTGAGTGCCCCGGAGAAGTGCATCTATAGCTGCTGGTAAGTACTGAAATACAAGTGGATGAGCTATAACAATTGCAGAGTTTAGTAGTTGCGCAAGAGGGAGTCAGAATTATAGTTCTGGATTTAGGGCTCAGATATATTCAGACAGGCATAGCACTAACAGAAGCTATGGAGTATCAATAGCAGTTTTACACAGCTGACTTAGGTAGGCCACTGTAAATGTAAATGCAATCAATGACCTTGGCCTTCTTTGCAGATAGTGAAGAAGGCTCTGCTAACTTGTAGCACACAATTGAGATGAGGTACAAGTGCAGGCAAGAGCAGTTATTATGGATGAACTGAAGCACTGTTATTGAGTACTCTGTGTTATGTTTGAGCACTCTGCCAGGTAACTTGTTCTAGTCTCTCAAGAGGTTAATTTTTTTTTTTTTTGAGCTATCACCTATAAGTTTATCATCACAATTAACCAAGGAGTTTGTTTAGTAATAGGACAAATTCTTCTTTGTATTGTCACACAGATGTTCCTTATACCTATTTGTCAGGTCACCACATTTTATTCCCACAATTTCTTTAATCTACGCTAAAATTTTCCTTTAAGGGAATCTGTCTTGTTTAGATAAGTTTTTAGTACAGGCCATTCAATACAGTTAAATTCTCTTGTAGCCAGGCTGTATTAATGTAGATAATCCAAGGCAGAATCATTCTGCAATGACAGGAAAGTTGCAATGATCAAGAAGAGACCACAGCTGGCATTAGCAAGGGGGTCAAAGATTAAAATCTCATTAAGGGATGGTTATGAAGCTTTTTCTCTTGAACGTGACATTCAAGCCCCAAGTTGTGATATTTATTATCCTTATTTAGTGTTGAAGAACAATCAATAACATTTGCTTATTGGTTATCTACCAAGATTGAGAAGTTTCCATTCATACTGGATAATGAATCACACATTGAAGAAGTCCATCTCCCCTGTGAGTATAATTAAATATTGCATTAGCTGATCAATAATAACTGGAGTTAGATTGTGTATGGGACACTGCCATTAGCCTGGTGACAAGAGAAGTTAGTTAAATTTTTAAAAAGCCTATCTTTTCTCAAAGATAAGGTTTTCCAAAAGATAAATCTGCATGCATGTTTAAGACCTTTTTTTTTTTTTAAAAAAAAAAAAAAAGAACACACAGGGAATTGAGTCATTCCTCGGCATCAAACTGTCTTAAACAAATACTTTTTAAGAAGAACTAAATATCAGATTTTATACTGAAATCCTTGCTCTAGCTGCACACAATTTAGAAAAAGAAAGGAAAAAGTGACATTGTCAGTAAGAACAAAAATTAAATTGCACTTTGTACCCTCAGGAGGGTCCCTTGAGCACAGAGGTACTTGCACCTGCTATGGGTACTGGAAGCAGTAACAAGGCTCACGTTTCAGTCTCATCCACCCCAAACCTCCCATACCTTTGTTGCTGAGCAGTCACTGGCCCTGGCTGTGCTGCCCTCCAACCTCTGGTGAGGGCATATCAGTGCAGCACTTTTTTTGTGTCTGCAGGTCTGGAACTGGGGATATGCTTTCCCTGATGGAAATTCAAGTCTGTCCCATGGCCTGAATTCGTTATTGCTTTGCTTTCCAATGTAGACAGTGTCAGTGCCTTTTGGATCACCAAATCAATTAAAAAATCACCACTGTCACATCAGGAAAACAGTAGCCACTGCTGATAAGGTGCAAAAATTAAGCTAGAATTTTTATTGATTTAACTTCCAGTTTTTATTTATTTATTTTTAAAATATCTGGTGTCTACTTTCACCACCTTTGTGCCTTGGGCACAACACCAGAACCTTCTCTCACATGCATACAGGCAGGGTAGAAGACAAACCCCAAAATCACTTCCTGCAAACTGCCTTAGGCTATTGCTGATGACATGACCTAATAAAATGACTAAAATTTTTCTTAACCGAGGACTATACCTTGCTCAATAAAGTAAACAGGAGATGAATTTGGCTAGCAGGGAATAGCAAGTTGCTGAAGGCATAGTTATAATTTTTCTTTCTTTACTTCAAATTTCATTTAGCGTCTTGTAAAAGTCTTTTGCTTTTAGAAATACATGTTCCCATACTGAAAATAGAAGAGCCATTTAGTGCACTGTCATGCTCAGCTACAAATATTCATCAAAAGCATCATCTTCCTCTTTTTACTTTCTCTTACATCTCAGTCTACTGATAGATGAACGGTCCCTCCCTCCTTTCAAGTCTTATCTGCCTCTCTTCTGTGCATTATAGTCAAAAGATAAGATTTAGTATCACAGTTGCATAATAATTTAATAAGCAGACCTTGGAGAATAAGAACAGAAGAAGAAAGAGAAATGCTAAAATATTGCTCAGAAATAGAAACTGATGGAGCTGTTCCTAACAAAACCCAGCCTGGGAGCTCTGAGGAGTGCTACAGACTGAAGACAACAGAGCTTCTGAATATAACATGAGCAGATTCCCCAAACAGCCAAGGATCCCCCCAGATGGGACACCTAAATATAACCAGTTAAGGAAGGTATTTTTGCAACCCTTATATCTTTTAGCCTACATAATTTCCCTCAAAGTGGGTCTTACCATCAGCAGTTTATCCAGTAGCATGGATTAGATGAGTCCTTGGGTCATGAATCCCCAGGATCTTTCTGATGTCTGCCTTCTTATACCACAGAAAGTTACCATTGCAGCTGGGACCCATCTCTAATAGAAACTCTTGCTGAAATGTACGAAAAGAAAGGCTTTCTGCACTTATCTCCACTATGCAATTTTTTATTTTTTAAATGAGCAAGAACAAAACCACAAAGTGGTTTTCAGACACATCTAAACCAGCATACCCTCCATACTCCCAGAAGCAGGTGCATGTAATAGTGACACCCACCCTGCACCAGAAAATTTGCACTTCCTATTCACCTTTATAGTACCCTGAAAAAGTTCAGCTGTTGGTACTGATGAGGACCACTTAGGTAATTTACAGCACAGGATTAACCAGACTGTTACATCTCCATATCTAGAGGCTATACCAAATTGGACAGGAATAACAGTTAACATTTTTACCACTTCACATTCTAAAGGTTTCCCAGGCACCAGATACTTCTCCTATCTTTGCCCGGTTTTGCCTGCAATATACACCTACGTTATTTCATTTGTTTGTGCAGCCTCCTTTCATCCTCACAGACGTTCTTAGGACAATATTACAGCAGGTTAAGGAGAACTGATGTAAAAATGAGATATATGATGGTGCTGATAGTCACTTCAGATTTGACCTCCCACCACAGGGCTAGCAGTGCTCTCCCTCCCCACAATCTTACCTGGTTGCTGGACTGTGATACTCAAAGTTTTGGCCTCTGTTTTGCTTCAGCTACAAACTCTTCAGGTCTCAAGGACCAGTGCCCATCACAGAAAGTGTTTTATGCTGTTTTGTGGCTTCTTGTTTAAAAAACAGCAGAAGCCTAAACACTCACTTTAACCCTTTAAGTTTCACTTGTAATTTGTACTCCATGCTCTTTTTCTCTACCTGTGGTCCCTGAATACTGCAGAAGAAATTTGTTTTGAAATACAGACAAAGCTTTCCTTAATACAATATTATCGGCATGAGCAATACTCTGTAAAATACACCATAATTAATCACCAGTATTAGCTAGAGATAAGCCTAAACTGCAGACTATGAGACTGAACTAAACTGAGGTTTGAGGGCTTTGAGGTGTCTGATTACAGCTCAGGCTTTATTAGAAAGTTTAAAAAATATAAATAAAAAATAACACTTTGGTCTTCAAAAGCAGGCTGTGCCTGTTCAGAGCTCCAGGGTTTCAGACACAGCACTTGTGCAGATTGCTTTCTTCTACACAATATGATAAAATTAATCATTTTTGCACCCACAGGTAAAATAACAAAACAAAACAACAAACAAACAAAAAACAACAAAAACTATTTCCATTTACAAATAAACAGTATTTGTTATTATTAAAAACCATTATGTATACAAACACTGTATAAAATAAGCCATACAGCTGTCTTTAACATGTTAAATTTGTGTTTCTAATACATAATGGTTGGATTTAAGTAATTAAAATCTGCACATACACTGTCTTTCAGACATTAGTTTTCTCTCTTATTCACAACACAAATGATTTTGACACAGTAGTTTACTACCTACAAGCTGCTACTGGTATATTATTTAGAAAAAAAAAATAAAGAAAGAAAAAGGAAAAAAAAAAGGACAGAATCTGTTAGTCAGATAACTAAACCAGCAAAAGTGATATGAAAATTAAATGTGTATAAATTTAAGGTAATATACGAATAAAGGTCATTTTTGTAAATAGTCTGCATTTTTTTTTTATTTACAGAGACTAGAGAATCAAGGCATAAGTTTTATGCTTTTCTACTGGCTTTCTTTCAAGATCATTATAGCTTCTTTTGCTAGTTTCTTGCTTTCAGGGCATCTTCAGTACAATTGAGTGGGGAAAACAAAGGAATAAGCCTTATCAGTTATTTAGGCTGATATCTTGCACTAACACTGAAGAGATATTTTGGTGATACAGTTTTCATTACTAAAATGCTATAGCATAATAAATTAATTCAATGTTGTGCACTTATCTATTAGACACATTACTACAGAAAAATAAAAATGTTAATTATTCATTATCATCTCTCTGATTATTTGTTGTGGCTGATAATTACATTGAATGTATTTTATATCAGTAATAACCTTCTGTCTACATTTACAACATATCATATCTGGGGGGCTTGTCAAGGTTTTTCCCAAAGCCTTTTCTTTATTAAGACACAGACCTCATGAGTACATAACCTTTATGTTGAAGGCTGATTTTCCTCTTTCATATAAAGAACAAATATTATAGATTAATTAATCCAATGTGATTATAATTTAATCACCCTCCTTCTGTAGTCACAAGGGACTTTGTTATTATTCAGAGGCTCATTCATATTGTTATGGAGAATAAATGCAGTCATAAAAATATTTGTGTGTCACTTAATTCATACTACAAAACAAAACTCTGTATCAATAAACAAAACCCTCTATTTTTCTTTCATCGTAGAAGCTTTGCAGTCTTGCAGGTTCTTACTTTCCAACTCTTAACCAGTTACATGTTTAATGTATTTTGCTGCAGAGCCTTCACATCCAGGCACTGTAATACACTCTGTTCCCTTTCTGAACTGTAATTAACTTGATTTTTTAAAGAGATTGCCCCAAAACTTAAGTGTGGAGCCTGTGCATACCTGAGCAAACACTACTTGCCCCAGCCCATTTTTAAAGCAATGACTTATGCATTCTGCTCATGTCCAGCCTATTTCACTTGATTTTATTGTCAGTGAAAATGATTACTTATTAATCTAACTTCTCTAACATTTACTTTTATGCCATTTCCTTAAAGTGTAGCCTGGACCATGTTCCTATCACCATGGAAATCCTTTTGGATTATTTCTATCTCAAATTCTATGAGCTTTTTGAAGGTTGAATCCTCTCAACATTTATTTTAGAAGGACAGGAAAAAAAAATTCTTTTCATGAGACCTTTGAACAAAGTGTAATTTGAAAGTGTGAATGAAACTACTGTTTAATAAAAATGAACATTTGAGCTACTTGGCCTTGGGACAATGCTGTTTAATTAAATTAATCAAGTTTAATTTTTTACTGAACTTTGAGAAACTAAGGTAATAATTCATGAACTCACTGGATGGAAACAAAAGTTGAAAGAGATATAAACCCAATGTTTCTTCTGCTGCATCTATGAAGTCTCAGTAACTGCTTTGTTCAGACATTAAAATGTCATTGAAATTTATACAACAATAAGTAAAACTTCTGTTTAGAAAATGTTTATCAGGTATGCTTAAAATATTACCAGATAAAATTAATTGATCAATAAATATACAGACAATTCAGAATGGAGGTTAAATGAAGTCCAGAAAGAAATGAAGAAATCCAGAAACAACTTAAATAATTTTATGAATATGACATGAAGAAAGTCTTGGAGCTGTGGTAGGTAAAGGTAGTGGACTTCTGCCTGGTTAAAGATCAGAATCAAGTATTTTTAAGGGAAATCAGAAGTGTTCATTTGACTACATGAATATGTGAATTGGACTTTCAAAATCTATTCTCATTTCATCTGCAAACTACAGTTTTCTTTCCTGAAGTTCTCATCCACACATTTCTCTTGCATTGCCATGAAAATTCAGGTTGTTCTGTAGATGTGAGAAATGTATATTTCTTAATATAGTTCTATAACTTTCTTCAGAAAAACCTTAAAACCTTATGTAGGAAAGGCTAGGTATGACTGGTTATGCCAGAGGTTGCCTATTTCAGCAGCCAAAGAATGGCAAGACTGCCACAGTTCCTTGCTCAGACTTGTTCCTTCCCATACCACCTTGATCCTGGATGCTGTCTCACAGATTAGTATTTACCCATCCTTTTTTTAAAGTCACTGAAGCTCTTTAGGGCAGATAAAGGAACTTACAGGAATGGAAACAGCAGATGATAATTTCCATATGGTGGACTTCCCTTGGAACAAATCAATTTATTTATTTTTTATTTTTTTTTTATAGATGTGTGAGCTGTTGAGGAGCTAGGACATAACCTGATCATTTAAAGACTGGGTAAAGAACACTGAAATTGGAACAACTGTGGCTTGGGACTTTCCAAACTCTTCACTGCCCCAACATGGAAATTACTTGGGTGGGCCTCCTTTCTCTGATTTATCCCAAGTGTTGGGATCAGCCAAATAGTATTAAATCTGAGGTTTTCATCACACATTACCAGATTAGATGAGCAGTTTTTGCACAACCAGTTACACAGGTATCCTAAATACCAAACTATAACTTCAACTAAACTAAGCTGATCTTAGATTAGTCTTGATATGCAAAAATTATGTTTACAAAAACCCTCCAGATATTATCAGAAGTGAGTGATAAGCCTAGGTGGGAAAGAAGCCAAACTGGAAAGATTAGAAGATAGTATCTGCAGAAAAGTTAGATTATTATGTTCTACTGTTGTACAGACAAGACTTCCTTTACATGTATGTGCTGATATAGATAGAGGTTGAAACCTACTGTGAAATCTATGTAGTGACATTTCTTTGTAGTATTTTGCAGCAGGCTTAGGAACATTAACATTGAACACCGAGTAAAACAGAATGTTCTTGAACTAGTATTTCAATTGGCATTGTGTAGAGAATTGCAGCAAAGCATGATTATTCTTCTGTTCACTTAATGTTCCCCTTTCATGTGTCTTTTTAACATGACCATCAGTCTCTGTTTCCACCTCCAGGACCCAGACCTACTGCAATTTCTCCATCCACTTTCTAAGTCAGATTATGAAGGACAAGCCCTATACCCTGGGCTTGGGTATCAACTCCAAAAACAACATCACACTCCAACAGGTTTAGGAATTCAGCAGCCCAGCACGACCTATATTATTTTTTTCTGTTATCTTTAAACACTGGCTATCTGGGCAGAAAATATGGTTATTTATGTAACTGTGACAATACAATAATGACTATGATTGTCCTACACGATTCTACAGAGTAAGAAAAACATCTCTATCCCAGAGAATTCATGTATGAATATATGAATTCAGATATGCTAGATATGACAATCTAGTTGGAGAATGAATCAATTATCCCTCACTCTCTTTCCCTTTCTATCTAACCTGTAATGTGAATGAAAAAAAATCTGTACCAAGGAATCAAAGGCAAACCTGGAAACTCACAAATTCTGGTAAATAATTCTCAGTATTTGTGAGAATTATTTTATACAGTTATTTTCTCTAAATTATTCCCTCTTGAATAAAAATGCACATGATGATTAAAAATCTCTGTGGCCCAAGTACCAAAATAAATGGATCTACCTGTGAAATGGAGAGCTGTGAA